GAGATCGTGATTGTGGATTTGAAAACAAGTTTTTATTTGCCGCAAATAAATGTCTCTCAGGTGATTTCGAATTGACCTACGACAAACAACGGCTTGAGGAAAGCGACTTAGTCGTGTTTCACGCTAGAAACATGCCAAGTGTAGATCATCTAAGAACGCTGCTGAAAAACAGGTCCACTTCACAGCGCTGGGTATATGCTGTGTGGGAAAGTCCAAATGCAACACCAAATCCTGCTCCATTAAACGGGCTGTTTAACTCAACGTGGACTTACAGAAGCGATTCAGACTTCTACTCGCCATATGGAAGTTACGAGGAACTGACTGAAGAAGAAAAATTGAATAAAGTAAGAAACATACCCGACTATTCCCAAGGAAAAACTGAACTTGTGGCTTGGATGGTTAGTAGTTGTGGCGTTCAACCTCGAATGGCTTTTGCCCAAACGCTGAGAAAATACATCAAGGTTGATGTATTTGGAAGGTGTTCCGAAAAATTTGGGCAACAGAGAGGTTGTGGAAATCTAACTGCTTGCCTTAAAACGTTTAAGTTTTATTTGTCATTCGAGAACGCTTTGTGTGAGGATTACATCACTGAAAAATATTGGGGAAGGCTCGGTAAGACCCGTGTGCTTTAGTTTGAAATTTAGCCCATTTTTATAGTCAAAAATCGAATTTCTTTAATTCATAGCACGGTTTCTAGGGCATCTTTGCATGTCTTGCAGTCAAACCAGGTCAAGCGTTCCCGTCGCTAACGAACTAATGAATTCATTAACGAAAAAATGATTTCCTTTGTTGACTCAATAATCCATTCATAAAAGACATAAAATGAACAATCCAATATTCATATTTACCCTCTATTCCATAATCGAATGTTGATTCGATTACTGTTTTTTTGAAAAACAACAATTTCCACAAGTCGACCTCAGAATTTTGTTTTTCTTCTTGTTTTCTAAGAGTTGAGTGCGAGCGAGTTCTGAAGTTCAAACCCAAACAAATTGTTACATGTACGCCATTTTGCTGCCAATAATCAGTGCAACAGACCCGACCTTTTAGAAAACACGACGGTCAAACTGAGGTCAGTGTATGAGCGGTGATTGGTGGATTTCGATCCTCGGCCTTTGTCAGTTTCTTTGCGTTTGCGGTCTGTCTATTCTAGCTGTTATTTTGATTAAAGGCAATAAAAAACGCAATTGTAAACGGCAGGAAAAGGGAAGCAAATGCGATTGAACACAACAGACGAGAATAAAGAACAGGTAGATTTTGTTCATAAAACAAATCAATATTTCATTATTGAATCGAGATCCAATTTGACTGTTGGATTATTCATTTTATGAATGGATTATTGAACAAACGAAATCATTTTTGCATTAATGAATTCATTAGTATGTTAGCGACGGGAACGCTTGACCTGGTTTGACTGTAAGTCACTGACAAAGATTCTTTTATCATTACAATGATGAAAGAGAATTTTAATGGTACGTACTTCATGTAAGACTAAGATGTAAGACATAAATTCCTATGTCATAATTTGGAGGATGGGTCGATTTGTGGGGGGGAGGAGTCGGTGACAATCAGGGGGGTTGTACAAAAGAGAGAGTCTCCAGTGATTAGATCTCCAGAGGTTGGCATCTCTGTTTCCGAGAGTAGCGCAACATCTGGAAAGGTAGCGCTGTTTTACTTACTCTGCGTGGCAATCAGGCTGTATTTGTCCGGACGGAATGTTCCCGGGGGTACTCCCTGTAATGGCCTATACGTGTCGGCTCCGCCCTAATGGGGTACCTTATCAGGCTTTAGGGATATGAAAGGGTAGGGATTTCACTAGTTGAAGTATGTGAATGGGTGGGGAAATCTGTCATTTCAGTTGTAAAAAGGCTCAAAAGGACTGACAGATCAGATACATTTTATCTCTGTAAAAAAGTCGAGAGAACGTTCTGTTTCTGTAGTTTATTCTTATTTTAAAGACAGTGAATTTACATCTGCAATTAAAATGGATGGAAAGTCCTAAACTACTAGGAAGGTGAAAGGGATACCATCTGTCGATAGAAGGTATTGTTGGTTTTCAGTGTCACGCCATTCAAAATAAATCAAAATCAAAATCAAAATTATTCGACAGATAAAGTCCAGAATCTGGGAAATGAAAGGAGGTAAATATACAAAGACCCTCGCCAAGATTTGGGTCGAAGGAACAATTCGTATACGAGATAATGTTTTACCCAAATTTATGGAGCTTTGTATGGAGACGCCATGCTGGAGCTCATCCGGATGAGCTCCAACATGTCCGACGGAAACCAACAGAGACATCTGTTACCAAGTTTTGCTATAAAAAGCGTGAATTTACTCCTAGAGGAACTCATAAACATTAAAGTAATACTTTTTCTAATACTTGAACTGTTTTGATAGCAAAATTCTTCGAAAAAAGTCACTTTTTTAACCTAAATGACAGCTCTCTCGGCCGTCATGTAAATGGTGCGTCACGCAAAAGCTTAGAAATTCAAGCGTACTCTATTACAAAACCAAGAACCCTTTTGAAGCCAAAATTTGTTCGAAAATCAGTTATCAGCTGCTCTAATACACCACGGAAGTAAAATCTCAGTAGGGTCAATAGTTTTGTAGTTAGACTTTTAGTGACGTCATCTGAAAACCAAATATACGAAAGGGGTACCTTTCCTCTCAAAAATTCCCCTATAAAAGGGACAAGGGCCGGATCTATCTATCCTCCAAGTAACAAACAAAAACCTGTCGGCAAAACCTACAGACCTAAACATGATATTTTCTGCCTTTTAATAGCATATAGTTTTCCTTTTTGATATCTTATAATATACTTCGAATGCGCTCATAGACATGGTGGATTCTATTTTCGCGGGGAAAAAGTGCCCTAAAATGTGTCTAAAAATAGACTGGTCCGTGAAACCGCCGTGACATAGGCCTAGTATGGGAGTTACTCGCTCAAGGTTATGGGCTCCTAAATTGTGGCATTTTAGAATACTCGCTAGCCTAAAAGTTTTTCTAATTTCCTGTTTTCCTGATTCTGTAAGTGTTTTCTTCTCTAATTGGCAATATTGTGACTGAAATGAACTTCTGCCTGCGGGCCATGGTACAGGCCCTCTAACTGGGACAGATTTCTGGGACGGTTATTAGAGGGTGACCGCTTAATACAGGTGCACAGCATTGGTAAATAGCATTTCAGCCATGGGCGTCTACCAGTTAAAGAGGGTCTGAATGGGGGTACATCGATAACACTAAACACTTCATTTTTTGGCAGTTAAATTTTGGGCATTTTAACACTAACAGTAAAACATTCTTTCAAACAGTAAATTTTTTTCCAGAAGGAAGAAAAAACGTCTCCAAAAAGGCCAATATTATTTTGTTTAGTTTTTCAAGGAATTTTTGGCCATTTTAGGACAATTTATTTCAGATTTCCGAAGAGTGCCGAACATTTTCGAAGACTAACGAAGAGGTCTGACCATTGCTGAAGATATCCGAAGAACCCTCCAAACACTTAAACAGTACTTTCTTCGGAAACAGCAAACATTAAAAACTTGGCTGATTTAACAGCAAACACTAAAAATTATGGGAGAATAACATGTAACACTAAACCCCATTCAGACCCTCTTTAAATATTGCACAGTGTGGTAGTTTTCAGATCATGATTAGATCTTTTTTTTATTCCAGGTGATATGAATGTCATCCCAGTAGTGATGGGAGGTGCTAATTACTCCAAGCTGGCTATTCCGGGGTCTTATATCAATGTTATGGACTTCAAAACTGTTAAACAACTGGCAGAGTACCTTCAGTATCTGGACAAAAATAACACCGCTTATAATGAATACTTTAAATGGAGACTAAAATACAAGGTGTTTCGCAGCAACCTTGATTTATCAATGTGTCAAATATGTAAATGGTATGTTTCAAAATCTCCGCTTGAACCGAAAGTTTATGGTGACCTTAGAACGCACTGGCTAAAGAAGGGACGATGTAATAAGAAAAGCCATCTTATCCGAAATATGTGGAAAGACGAATGATTCCTCAGGAATGATCATATGATATTAATACACATTTACAGTTCTGTCAAATGCAAAGAAGAGTGACAATCATGACATGCTTAGGTCAGCTGGAGAACTGGTGCTTTTAATTTAGATAATACACTTTGTTGGTTATGTGACTTAGTCTGCTTCACGGCCGTTCTTTGTGTTGTCACGCCACGGGTCACGCCCAGCATCCGTTTTGGGGGAGGAGCGTTGCGTGACGACACGAATAACAGCTGTGAAGCAGACCCGTGACACTTACTCTTCGCTTTTTTAATAGCACGGGCGTAACGAGTCAGGGGATAAGAGGCGACTGAATTCGCAGGGGAGTCTGTATCACGCCGAAAAGATAAAAGGCTACAGGTTCACCGGCGAAAAATGTCTGATTGGTCGACGGGCGACCACGTGACATTGCCAAATTCAAAATGGCGGCAATACCTCCATCGTTTGTTTATTCCAGTGGAAAGAAGATTAATTGCGCCTTAATATGAGTTGCAAATGCTATACGGATTTTTTTAGCATAGCCTAGACTTTTTATTATCCTTTTTCACCTATTCCTATGAGATTCGTTCCCTGTGATGCTTGCGTTTTGGCCATTTTACCAGATTCAACTTTGGACTTGTTTAAGAGATCACCACTCTTCACGATCACGAAGGACAATATTTCTGAAAAAAGCCGGGTCACTAGAAAGAACGGCCTTTGTTCACAGCTCAATGCAGCGGAGAAATAAGACACTATATGGGTCCTTTGAAATTGCTCAGAGACCTGGAAGTTGTTTTATTATTTTTTTACCGAAAAGATAAAGCAAAATTGTTTTCTCCAGCAAGACTTTCTAATTTATAAAAAAAAGCTTGAGTATGAGCTAAATGAACTTTAGTGTCTGCATTCATGTTCTTTTCATTGTGAACGGGTGCAATTTTATTATCAAAACTTTAAAGCCGTCTATGACCGGGCAGGTTTTTTTTTCTTTTTTCCTTTTAATGGTTACTGTGCTTGATCTGAATAAGAGAAAGAAAATTTTAAAATTAGGGGAATACTATACATAAAAGAAGAGAACTTTGATTGCAAATATGTTAGTTGAAAAAAAAATACTGATTATATCTTTTTAGTACATAGGTTAGAAAAGAGATGCATAGTGCTACAAAGGAGTAAAAACCCAGATCTTTCCATTAATAAATTTTATTGACACTGTCAGGGACATATGCTTTCCTAGAGTACACATTTGTTCGTCAAAAATCTTGTTTGTGAGGCTGCACTTTGTTTGATTCAGGATCAATCAATCTTTTCTGAAGAGAAATAAACAATAGGTGTGTTAACATGTCAGATACTTCAACACTGCCTTAGCCAACAACTAAGAAGAAACTGAACTTCATATCACAAAACAAAGTAAAAACTACTTCACTGTAAAACAACAACCCCTTCAAATATATATCACTTTAAATTCATGCAAAATGTAGACCTGATGATAGGTTTATAGGAATAGAAACAAAAGATAATTACAATGAAACTATAAAGTTTGAATGAGATCTGTATTTGAGTGTTCTCTCATAATTCTGACAGAAGATCAAAATTGGAAACTGTATATCCTACACAACTGCATTCATCAACATAATCCAACAAAAATTTTGATAAGACTCAAAGTTTACTCCAAACTTCAAACTATACTCTAAGTTTAATTTGTGATGATTATCTTTTTCTTGGAAAGAAGTTTTGAATACTTAATAGCATGTTAGCTCTATCATTCACTCATAACTTTGCTCCAAAAAAATTAAGCCAAAAACGATGGACAGAAAAACAAGAGCATTCACAGGAAGATTACCCTGTTCATTTCTTCCAGGATCTAGTTTTCAAGCAAAGAAGCACCCCCCACAGAAAGCCTTGTGTGCAAAAATTTAGTACCAAAAAATTGTACACGGGGGAAATAATGTCCGTAAGTGCGGTTCCTAACGAAGAAAGTAACAAGTAACTCGTTGTGTGGATAATCCCAAGCCAAATTTATGAGCAAAATAATCTAAACTTCCATCCTTCAATTATAAAATTGCAAGCCTAAATGTACACCAGCTGTGCACATTGTAAACAAAATTTTATTTAAAAATCAAAATGTTGCTGGACCTATCGAACTGTAGCTCCAAGACAGTCTAAGCGTTTTAATGACTGAAACCACTCTCACATTTCCTCATTCGACAGTTCGGATAAAACTCAAATTTCTGTCACATACAAAGCTGTAATAATGTGCAACAACAATGAAATCTGCATCGATCGACAACATCACCTTTCGAACTACGCACTTTAGAAAACTGCCGCAACCCGGCCGCTTTCGATCCACTAGCCACAAGACAATTTACAAAGCAAGACAATGGCTAAGAATATTTCTTTACCTTCTTTATAATTTCCTTTTGTACCGAGTGACACGAGATTAACTTGAACCAAGCGTAAGCTTATTTTTCTGCCATAAACAGTGTAAACACACACACACGGAGATTTAGCATCTAAATATAGTTTTTCCAGCAACAAAGTACAAGCTAAGTCATATTAACAAAACAAAGCCCAAAAATGTCTGTCCCTCTACTCTTTTTTGGTTGAATCCGTGATAAGAAACTTGAACTAAACAACAAAACATTTTGGATATCGTTGTAATACGCTCTTCGATCAACAGTGGAATGTTGTCGAATGTTAGATTATCAAAATCGAATTTTGACACAAAAACGGGATACACATTTAACAAAACTGTCGCTTCCGTGCAACTCGGTACAAGCTAATTTATATACCAAAACAAAGCCCAATAATTTTTCTTCCACTCCTTTATAATTTCTTTTTGTACCGAGTTGCACGGAACATGCAGTAAACAAAAAGAGCAAAAATTACCCACCTTTTCGGCATGTCTTCCACATGCAAACTAGCGATGTCAACGTCAATAACACTGAATCAAACCATGCCAATGCGATTTTTCGCCAGTTTCAGGATGCTGTATTCTCTAGAGAACACACTCATGTCAAAACTTTGACCAAAATAATTTTTGATCGCTTACAGTGACAGGAAATTGCAACGCTGTCACTGCCAAAAAAAAGCTGCCATCGCTTCTTTCATCTGAACAACATTTCGCGGGCATTTTCGCCTCGGAGCCAATGACATTGCCCGAAATCGATCACTTGTCATTTTTAGTAGAGCATGCGCAGACATTTTTCGCCGGTGAAGGCTACAGGAAAGGCTACAGGTTCACCGGCGAAAATTGTCTGATTGGTCGACGCGCGACCACGTGACATTGCCCGATTCAAAATGGCGGCAATACATCCATCGTTTGTTTATTCCAGTGCAAAGAAGTGAAATTGCGGCTTCATATGAGTTGCAAATGCATATACGGATATTTTTAGAATAGCCTAGACTTTTTATTATCCTTTTTCACCTATTCCTATGGGATTCGTTCCCTGCGATGCTCGCGTTTTGGCCGGTTTACCGGATTCAACTTTGCACTCTTCACGATCACGAAGGACAACAATATTTTTGATGAAAGCCGGGTCACTAGAAAGAACGGCCTTTGTTCACAGCTCTATGCAGCGGAGAAATAAGACACTATGGGTCCTTTGAAATTGCTTAGACACCTGGAAGTTATTTTATTACTTTTTTTACCGAAAAGATAAAGCAAAATTATGTCTTCTCCAGCAAGACTTTCTAATTTATAAAAAAAGCTTGAACATGAGCTAAATGAACTGTAGTGTCTGCATTCATGTTCTTTTCATTGCAATTTTAATATCAAAACTTTAAAGCCGTCTATGACCGAGCAGGTTTTTTTTTTCTTTTTTTCTTTTCAATGGTTACTGTGCTTGATCTGAATAAGATAATGAAATTTTTAAAATTAGGGCAATACTATATATAAAAGAAGAGAACTTTGATTGCAAATATGTTAGTTGGAAAAAATACTGATTATACTATATGATCTTTTTACTATATAGGTTAGAAAAGTGATGAGTAGTCAAAAGTGCTACAAAGGAGTAAAAACCCAGATCTTTCCATTAATAAATTTTATTGACACTGTCAGGGACATATACTTTGCTTGAATACACATTTGTTCTTCAAAAATCTTGTTTGTGAAGCTGCACTTTGTTTGATTCAGGATCAATCAATCTTTTCTGAAGAGAAATGAACAATAAAGTATGTTAGCATGTCACTACTTCAACACTGCCTTAGCCAACAACTAAGAAGAAACTCAACTTCATATAAAAAAAAACAAAGTGAAAAATACTTCACTGTAAACCAACAACCGCTTCAAATATATATCACATTAAATTCATGCAAAATGTAGACCTGATGAGAAGTTTATAGGAAAAGAAACAAATGATAATTACAATGAAACTATAATGTTTGAATGAGATCTGTATTTGAGAGTTCTCTCATAATTCTGACAGAAGATCAAAATAGGAAACTGCATATCCTACACAACTGCATTCATCAACATGATCCAACTAAAATTTCATGAAGACTAAAAGTTTACTCCAAACTTTAAACTCCTGTAAGGTTTTTCCCAGGTTTGAATCACATTGAATGCATATTTAAACAGTAATTAGATCTGTGAAACATTAGAACGGTGCAATGTCGTGGAAGGTCTGGGACATTACTGAGACTCTAACAAAATCCTTTGGTGCGAGTTCCAAAGCCGCCTACTATTATTTTATTATGAGCCTGCTACTTAAAAACTTTTTGACAGCCCTGATATTGCACAGTAAATAAACACTGTTGGATATACACATGCAAGCGGTCCATGACCATCATGCTACCTATCCCTTAATCAAAAAACCTACAAATCGCCTTTTGCTGACTTTTTCACCTGATTTTGCATTAAATAGCCAGATTTGGTTGTTTTATGCTGAAAAGTGGATTTTTCTCAAAAAGCTTGGTACTTTGCTTACAGCTACAGTGTACATTGTAGAGCAGTCCCCTTTTGCTACGGCCCAAAGACTGGACACAGTGAACTCAAATGCTGTATTAGCCAATGGAATAAT